TCTCCAAAAAATGCCAGGGAATTCTTTGAAATATGTACGACAACCTAAGTAAGGGAGGCAGGATAAAGTTTTAGCTTTTGAGGCAGAAGTTAAAAGAAGGCAGGCAACGTCTGATACTGGCCCCTCCCCTGTACCTTTCCAGTCCTGAGGATTTGCAGGGAATGTGGCCTGCCGCCAATTGCTCAGAAACCAGCACCCCATTTCTCCCAGCCACTTCCAAGTTTGGTCAGTAGAGGGCGCTGGATCACCATACTCCCACTCTAGCCTTGGCGCTAGCAACTTGATCCCTATGTCCACACAGGCCACATTTTAGGGAGTGTTTCTTATGCTTATGGTTAATATTATACAGAAAAAAACCAGCAAAACACAAACCTACTATTATACAATGTAATATCACCTATGTAAAAAACGTTGAGAGGCATTGGTGGTTTAGTGGTAGAATTCTTGCCTTCCATGCGAGACCCAGGGTCGATTCCCAGCCAATGCACCTCATGTGCAGCCAGCAACCATCTGTCAGTGGAGGCTTGTGTGTTGCTATGATGCTAAACAGGTTTCAGTGGAGCTTCCAGACTAAGACAGACTAGGAAGAAAGCCCTGGCAATCTACTTCCAGAAATCAGTCAATGAAAGCCTGATGGATCACAATGGTCCAATCTGCAACTGATCATGGGGATGGTGCAGGACCAGGCAGCGTTTTGCTCCATTATGCACGGGATTGCCATGAGTCAGGGGCTGACTTCCAGTTAACAACAATGTAAAAAGTGTACAGAAAAAAGACTTGAAGGAAATATAACATGATGTTATGAAAATCTGCTCACTGGAGATGGAATTTCTACCTTTTCATTATTTTCTATATTCTTTGAATCGTCTACAAGCTTGAATGACTCTCATAACGAGAAAGACCCACAGGGTGCTCAGGGACTTGGGAGTAATCTGGAGTGGCTGCGGCACAGGGTGCTCATCTATTTGAGAAGGCTTTGTTGTAAACCAAATATATGCCTGGATCTGGGCTGGGCACGGAGAGACAACAAGGAGCAAGACACAGTCCCTTCCTTCAAGGAGTTCTGTCCGGGAGAGGAGCCAGACACAGAGATGACCACAGCATAACGTGAACCATAATGACAGAGTCGTGCTCAAAGAGGAGAGTGCAGCACAGACACAGTCCCAAGGGCTTCAAGGGAGGCTTCCCGGAAGAGGGGTCATTGAGCTGAAATCTCAGGGGTGAATCGGAGTGAGTCAGACAGGGGTGCAGGGCACATTTAATGCACAAGTATCAACATAAGCAAGGGCACAGGAATGTGAAACAGAAAGCGGGGAGGCAGTTCCCACGGGTTCAGCTACGGCCTAAAGTTTAAGGTTGGAGACTGAGAGAGAAGATGAAAGAAATCAGGCGAGCTGGACGTCAAGACCTCGATATGCCTTACTGAGGAGCCCGGCCTTTATCCTACGGGGAATGGGAAGCCACTGAGGATTTTAAGCAGGGGAGTGCCGAGGTCAGATTTGCAGATGGGTGGAGACAGTTGGAAGTGGACAAGACCAGATGGAAGATTTTTGCAATCTACTGGGTAAGAAGACACTGAATAGCAGACAGAAGAAAACAGCCTCTCTGAAAGGACTGTGTTATCCTCATGACTCCATGGAAGCTGAGCATTGAGTGGGAGTGGGCTGATGAGACAGAAATCTAAGGGTAACATTTAAAGAGAATGACTTTTCACCAGTCTCAGGAAAATCACACTCACCACAGGACTTCATATTTCAAAAAAGCTTGATTTGCATTTAATCTATAAAAGAAAATAACTTGCTTTGGCTGACAGCACATGTGGTATGAGGTGCGGTAAACACGTTTTCTCATCCAATCCCCACATCAACTCTTCAAGGGAAGAGTATAAGTCTCATTTTGCAGATGAGGTCATGGGTTCAGAGACGAGACAGACCTAAGGAAGGGAGAGCAGGACTTTAGCAGAGGGGTGCCCACCTCCCCTGCCTTTGCTCTGCCCACAACACACCCAGGTATCACCCAAATGGCCCACACTTGTGGGAAGACGTATCAGGCTAGGACTGTGACCACAGTCCCTCTCTACGCACTGCTGCTCAGTTCCCACCTGACACTGAACTCGTGACTGCAGCTTCATCAACAGCACGGCCCATAGGTGGACACAGAAGGCAAGGAAGATGCTCTGCCTGGACCCTGGCAGCAGTGGCAGACGGCCGTGGGGTAAGCATGAACCAGGAAACCACACTCCGGCTGCCAGGAGTCAGGGCTAGACGTAGATCCCCAGACAAGCCAAACTCTGAGCACTGCCCATGAAAAGAACCGACAGGAAAGGAACACACATTCCAGAAGGCTCAGGGAAGAAGGCGTGACCCCAGCTGAAAACACAGAGGTGCTGAGTGGCAGCCTGGTCTGCGAGCTGGCGGTGGGACCACAGTGTAATCCAGCCAGTGTGCCCTCTCTTATAACCATCTGCCTCATGTACTCTACAGTCTGCTTCTGATTTCAGCTATGTGGGACAGATGGACAGAGACCATATTTTCTAAATACAAGGATCTGACAATGCACTGATATGAATGGGGCGGAGGCAAACTATTTGAAACTGGAGGACTTTTGGAAACCCAGGCCCACTACAGATACCAGGTACCAGCATCACCAACACAAGCATCACCAGAGGCTCAGCACTAGGGAGAGGGGTGCTGGATTCTGTTCCGGGAGAGTTTACAGAGACCTGAAGCCTCAAGGAATAAAATAACATACTCATCATTTCATAAATCTCCAATGGAAAATTTGAATAAGTAGTCAGAATTTTATTTTTTTTTTCCAAAAAATCTAAGATACTACATAGGAAAACAATACCAAAAAAAAAAAAAAAAAAAAAAACCCTGATGAATTAGGAGCCTTACAGAGGTGTGCACACTACCTGTAAATTACCAGCACAGTGAGAGTGGACAGCTTGGGACAGACAAGTGGTTTTTACTGGGAAGCATTAATGTAACATTCAATTATCCTACTGCATACTGGCTGACTTAACTCAGCCAAATTAGAATACATTTTATATTGACTATTTTGACATTTGTTTTATTTGGCAAGTAAAACAAAACTGATCCAATTTCCTTGCAGCCATTGTAAACCATAAACTATACAACAAGAGGTTATAAAATATATGTCTTATGAACACTTCCTTCTGATGCACTACCCTCCAGTTCTGGCCCTGCTCCACTGGCCTGGTGTTCTCGGGCCCTTTCCCTTCAGCTGCAAGTGACCCTCCTTCTCATAGCAAGCTTCTGGGGAGATCACTGTCCTTGCTTTACCTGAGAGAATAACTGTTCTTTCTCTCTCTGACAGAATGTTAAAGCCTGCCTGGAGATGGTACTCATTTCTGCCATTCCAGATCATAGAAGGTCAACAGGGGGCAGCTGTAACTATTTAAAGGCAACAAGAACTCTTTCCGATGTCCAGGACAACCAATCCTCTGGGAGGCCTTCTGGCTTCTCCACTGAGCCCCAACCGGAGCTGACTCCAAGCTCAGGTGATGGACCTGCACTGAACCTTTGCATCACCAGTAGTAAATTGAAGACAAGGAACAAACAGCACAGGTGATGGGCCTGAGCTGACCCCAACACAGGTGATGGACCTCGGCTGACCCCGAGCACAGGTGATGATGAGCCTCAGCACATCATCAGCACACAGCTATGACAGTGCTCTTGGTCCATGAGAAAGAATGAGCAGGTGTGGAACTGAGCTGTGCTCACACTCCTGAGCACAACAAAGACACTCAGCTGCTCAAATCTGCATCCCTGGGAAGCTCACAGCTATTCATACCTTTTCATACCAAAGTGGAACTGAAAGGACTTCTAAAGTTTCGGGTGGTTCCAGGGGTAGTTAACTTTAAAAACCACTCTTGGTTTGTGAAACTGTCATGACAAGGACCAGATTGTTTTTATAGGGGGATGTCCCAAAGGACAGAGCCCTCTGAGCAGCAGGCTCATTTCAGTGGTGTTCTTTCGAGTGAGGACGATGCGATGCTGTGTGGAGAGAAACAGAGCTCGGAGAGCCCGTGCAACGTAACTGTCTCCTTGTCACCTCTCTGAGGGCAGGGTGTGGGTGTGTGCAGCCAGAGGAGGAGGGCACCGTTGACTGCGTCCATTCCTGACAGATTCTGCTATTCTCTATTCCCCTACGTGGACGCTTTCAGATCCATTCTCACGTCAATCCCCAAATGATGCTGTCTCACCAATTCCTACTTATTTTATTTACTTTTTAAATCCCTTTCTCAAACTTAATCTATCAGTGCTGTTTGTTCCTTGTCTTCAATTTACTACTGGTGATGCAGAGGTTCTTTATTTACTACAGGTTCTTTATGACAGGATTTTTCATACCATCTGCTTTCTGCAAAAATGTAGAAACCATTACTACCTTTATTACAATGGCAATCAGTTGCAGAGATAAGCCAGTTTGCTTATCCAAGTGCCTTTGTGGAAATAATTAATAAAACTAGTATCTCCTGAAAAAGTCTCGCTATTCTCTCATACCCAAAACATCTATTTCTTAAATAGTTTCTGGCTCACCGGGAAGAGAAACAATATGACAATGAACATAAATACTCACTAACCCTCTTGGGTTTCAAATAAGATGCTGGTTGAGGCAGAGGAGGAATTCTACCTTCTTAAGACCTGTGATCCCAACTACATGGCTACAAAGTATGCATCTGTGTGCAGTGCTAAGCTCTTTGGAATAGTCAGTTTTAGGCTGCATATTCTGCTATTATAGGGGCCCGCAGAATATGTACAAAATAGAATATAGAATGGCCTGTAAATTCATGTACTACAAAAGTTTCTAACTGGATTTTTAAAAATCTCCTCTAAAGATACATTGCTTATGCAATTGTTCAGCTATATGCTGCAAATACTAAGTGGAGGTGTTCTAAAATGTTACACAGTAGGACTCCAGGCCACATAGCTCTGTTACATAAGTAACAGCACAGGGAACCAATGGCAAGGCCTCACCTGGGAAGGTTGGGGGCTGGGGTGGAAGCAGCTGATGACTGGGAAGGCGTTGTGGGTTGAGATGAGTCATGATTTCTTGGCACTCTGCCCATTCGATACCAGATCCCCATGTTGTTCAGTTCCCTTTAGGAGAAAAGAGAAATCTTTATGGTGCTATTTAACACAAAGCATTCACCTGAGTGACAAAGCAAACCAACTCATTTAAAAGAGTCACAGACTCAAAGACCAGGGAATCAATTCTTGCCTGTGCAAGATGAGTTACATTACCTCCCTGTGTACTCTGGGTGCCATGGTTCAGAGCCTAATGTGAGGGCGACTCTCTCAATGAAGCAGGACTCGACGACACAGCCATCTTCACCCACCACAGAGCTTGCCTTCCTATTCCTACTGACATTTCCTTGGTTCTCATTTTTTAAATTCTTTTTACTTTACCACTTCATTGTAGGTGTTAATGTGGTAATCCACTTCAAATCCTTTGTGTAATTAGGGTGAGGCAGATGGCAATGGACTGACAGACACGTATGCCTGGTTTTTAACCACGAGAAGAATTAGGCCCACACTACTCGACAATGTGCTCCCACTTCAGGATCCAAACCAAAAAAACTAAACCCATTGCCGTTAAGTTGATTCTGACTCATAGTGACCCCATGTGTTACAGAGTAGAACTACTCCATAGGGTTTTCTTGGCTGTAATCTTTACAGAAGCAGATCGCCAGGCCTTTCTTCCACAGAGTGGCTAGGTGGGTAGGTTAGTAGTTGAGCGCAAACTGTTTGTGCCACCCAAGGACCTATCATTTCAGGATACAGCCCCTTAAAACTGAGATGTCACCTAAACTGGCCTCATTCGCAGGGTCAGCAAATCCCCTGCTGTGTTTGGGGGACATCATCACAAAGCCCCAGGCACATACATACCTCAGCAGCCACGTCAACAAGAGCAGACGTGAAAGGGCCTCACAGATGTCCCGTTGGGCTCTTTAGTATAGATAGCCCCTCCACAGCCCCGCCCTAGACCACACAGTCTTGTTATGAGGCAGGTACATTCTTCAGAATGGTAACAGGGTTATTTTAGTTTTCAACTTCTCAACTGCCCCATAGAACTGGATCTTTGCGATCTGATATAAAGGGATATCATCTCTTCAAAACATGAAAATAGATTTATTCTGTGGACGCTTCTAGTAAGCTGCTCTGTACACTGCAAGAACTATTCTAAAACCACAGCTACGACTTAGAGATGACTGACTCCAATCAGCTTCTCTGATTTCACCGTATCTTAGTCATGATTCCAGGATGTCAGATCTTGGAGGAGCCGTTCTTAACCTGAGGTTTCTGTCTCCTCCAGCTGACATGCCAACCCTTGCAAAGTAACATGTGGAACTGTGCCCATTTTTAAGAATAAGTGACTTAGACTCCTGAATACTGAATTCTCTTTTCTTACTTAAAAATAACACCGGAATTGTCTTCCTTTGGAAAAAAATTTTTGCACCAAGATGAAACAAAAATATACTTTATTCATCAACCTTTTCAAAATGATACAAAAGAAAAAAAGATTCTAGCTTTGATTATCAAGAAATACATGGTAAAAATCTATTCCTTAGGATTTTAAATTGTTTAAAAAATAAATCTTTTAAAGCAGTATAGTTTGTAATTAAAAATACACATAATAATTGAAATTAGACTTTAAAAGTTCATGATTAAACTGCTGGTTTCTACTATTTGTATGTAAACTGCTAGTTCTAAGGTACCTGAAGTATGGTTATTCTCTTAATTATTTCCTACTCCTGTAATCCTGTTTACATAATTTAAACAACGCGGTAAAACAGCATTTTTTGAGCATGTAGGAAGGGAATAATCATAGAGCTCTTCTTAAGAACCACAGAATCCTGATACAGAGCATTCAGATTCCATAGCTGAAGAATCTAAAGAAACTGCTGTGCACCAACCACAATGAAAATAATCTCTATTTCTGTGATACCTGCGCCCATGCTGCTTCAAGAAAACACTACAGCTCTTGTCCATTGCCTGGACTGTGTCTAGTATAAGACAACTCTGGCTTTTAGAGTAAAGAGGAGGCTCTAAGGTTCAAAAGAACAAGAAGCAAAACAGAGCATGAACCAGATCCAGGATGCCGACCTCAAAAGCCAAGTAGGAGAATGCATCCCTGGGAATCCACCGTGACAAATGTGATGCCTGGAAAGCCCAGCCTGGGAAGGAGGTGTACAGTTGAGGGGGCCAAAACGCCAGCTACCACACTGATTAATATGACAGACTCAAACGTCAGTTTACCGAGTATGGTGAAATCTGTTATCTTTTGGATGTCCAGCATCCATTCACCCCACTTCTGATTCTTTTTACTCCTTCCTGTATATTTTTGGGGGAGCCACCTCCCTCATTCTGAATCCGTGAGTTCCAATGGAGCTGACTCTATTTCCAGTTCAGGCCTGGGTGACTAGGAATGACATTTTCCGGATAACAGTGACCGGTTCAGGGTGTACGCGACCCCAGCTGGAGCAATCAAGAATGAGACTGAATTTCAGAACTTTTCTTTGAACTATCAGGAGCGTAGACTTGCTCTTTCTCCTTGGACTTGAACCTGAATGAAAAATATGAAAAGCTACATACTACCGTGCTCCCACTAGGGGAGAACATGTCCAAGAACAGAGTCAACACAGAAGAATCAGAGCAAGGAGGTAGAGATAGAGAAACTAGATCCTAGTGATGTCCTTTGAGCGCCTAAATCCAGCCACACCTGAAGCTGATCCTGTCTCCTCCCCTGAATTCTTCAGTTATATCAGCCAACAAATTCTTTCTTTTGTTTAAGCCAGTCTAGGTTGAGTTTCCTGTCACTTACAATCAAAAGAGCCTAAAATGATAGGCTGAGTGTCCTCATACTTAGTATTATGAAGCTGCTAAGTACGAGACTCTTGGCTCAGTATACAGGGTTAACAAGATATGCAGGGGCCCAGCCCTCAGCAGTTCACTGCTCATCAGGGAAGACAAATATCAGACCAAAAAGTATACAAGGAATTATCACGTAATCATTTAATACTCATGTTTCTTCCTTAGAACCCTCCAATACTTTTCCAGTGCACTTGGAAGAAAATCCAAACTGCTACCATGTCCCACAAGGTAAACCCCTCATTCCTGACATTCTTTGCCTTGCTTGCTCACCCCAGCCATACTGGTCTGCTTTCTGTTTCCTAAAAATTCCACACTCATTCCCACTTTTAAACTTGCACTTCTCCTCTACCTAGAAAGCTCTGCCTTCAAATGTCTGCATGGCTGGTTTCCTCTTGACATTTAGGTTTCTGCTCAAAGGTCACCCTCCTGACCACTCCAGCTAAAAGTAGCTCCCACTCCATTGCTGTGTTCCATTTTCTCCACTATATGAAACTATCTCATTTATTTTCTTGTTTATTGCTTGTCTGTCCCTTTTAGAACATCAACTCCATGAGAGAAGGATCCTTGTTTGCCTTCCTCACCACCATATCCAATGTCTTCAGTCCAGCAGGACATAATAAGTGTTCCATAACGTTTAAGTGGGTGAATAAACACACAGGGTGCGGAGTTGAGGTGCAGTAGCATCGCAAAGAGAATACCTTGGCTTTGAGGTATCCAGGAAGGCTCCAGAGGAGCTTGGAAGATGAATACTCAGAAGAACAAAGGGCAGGAAAGGCCCTTAGAAGGGGCAAACAGCATGAACAAAGGTACAGGGAGGTCAAAAGCCTGGCGTTTTGGACCGGCTGCAACATAAGCGGGAAGGGCAGCAACGAAAGCAAGAGCCGGAAACACTGATGAGGGGCAGATCGCCAAGACCCTTTTGAGTCTCACTGAAATTCTAACGGCTTTGTCCCAGGAGTGACTGAAGGTTCTCAGTACAGGGAATCAAATGAAATCTGTTATTAAGACTTACCCAATAAAGGTGTACTGAGGAGGTGCCTGCTTGGTCCGGCCCATGATTCGAATGTCACAGATGGCAGCTTCAGTTGAATCCCGTGGGATAAATTTAATGCACAGCCTCTTCTTTCTAAAAGCCACCTCCTCTGAAGAAAAAGACAACAGAAACGGTATTAGACTTCCAGAGATGCCAAAATCTTAACTTCTGAACATGATGGCTCCCTATCACCTTGCCTTCTTGGCAGTGGAAGTGACTGGTCATCCAGGTCACCTGACAGAGAGTTGGGCTCTACCCCTCCTGCCTTCCTCGAAGCCACAGTGGACAGGCTGCCATTACAGAGTGGGCATCAGTCAGGACCTGACTCCAAACATCCCCTGCCAAGAAGGGGCTCCCAGGAGTACATACACCTCTGCAAGGAGAAGCGATCTGGCAACAAACCCACGGGCCTTGCTTCCAAAAGCCAAGACCAAAATCTCTGCTCACTGCTCAAGTCATCAGATATCTATACCCTGGGTCCTGAGTAGTTACACATTTTACCACATGGACTTTTTTTTTTTTTTTTTACTTTTATCGTAGAAAAATTTTAAACATACCTAAAAAAACAGAGAACAGTATAATAAAACTACATGTTCCCATCATCCAGTTTCAACAATTATCAACAATGGACAAGCTTGTTTTCATTTCTCCCCCTGCTCTCTTTATTTTTGCCAGAGTATTTAAAATGTATCCCTGACAACGAAGTCACATCACCCATAAATATCTCAGTAGGCATCTGTGACAACTTTTTAAACATGACCACCATTTATTATCATTCCAAACATAATGAACAAAAATTCCTTAATACCATCCAACAATGTCATTTTACTGTTGGTTTATCAGGATCCAAGCAATGTCTATGTACTGCACTTTGTAGTTACAGTTCTTAAATCCCTTTATTCTTTAACAACCTCTCTCCCTTCCTTTTTTCTGCAGGGCACTGATAGGCTGGAGAAATTGGGTCATTCCCCTGTTTATTTCCTGTAAACTGGCATTTAGAGCTAAAGGTTTGATTAGATTCAGGTGAGATGTTTTAGGAACAAACACTTCACAGGCGATTCGTTTACTTCCTATGGCATGGAGTCCAGCTGTGCCATTCCTGGCGGGCTCTGGCAGTCTCGGCCCAGCCCCTCAGTTATAAGGTGCCCCAATAACCTTTCTCTGAACGGTATTCTCACTCCCTAATGACTACTGCCTAGATCCATAATTTCATTAAAGGTTGCAAAATGGCAATTTTTAAATTCTGTCATTTCTCCTGCATTTATTAGCTGGAATTCTTCTATTAAAAAAAAAAAAAAAAACACACACACACACACACACACACACACTTTTCTTCATCAATTTGGTCTCCCTGAAATAATTTGTACAGGAAAAGAAGAATAAATGTGTGATTCTTTTTTCTTATCAAGTTTTAGAGTAATAAGCTGGTATCATAACAGCTTCCAATAGTGACCAACAAAATGGTTTTTGTTGGTTCGTTTGTGTTTTTAAACTGCAGTCATTCACATGAATCAGACAAATCTCACTTGAAATCCCAGCTTCACCATTTTCTGACACTGTGTCCTTAGGCAAGTTACTTAATTTCTCCGAGCCTGTTTCATTATCTGTAAAGGAGTTGGTGAAGCCCCACCCCACAGCGATGCTGGGAGGGTTAAATGTGACAACACATATGGTTCACTTAGCCTGATGCCTAGCACATAGTACATCAGCCCAGTTGTTGCCGAGTTGATTCTGACTCATAGCGACTCCATGTGTTTCAGAGTAGAACTGCACTCCATAAGGTTTTCAATGGCTATAAATTTGCAGAAGTAGATCACCAGGACTTTCCTCCGAGGCACCTCTGGATGGATTCGAACTACCAACCTTTTAGTTAGTAGCTGACTGCTTAACCATTTGTGTCACCCAGGGGCTCCCAGTAAGTGCTTAATAAAGAATAGCTATGAGTGTTCTTATCATCATTATTAGAAGTAAGCCTCTAACACACAATTTATTTTAGTGTTTGGTATTGACTTTTAAGAGCTTCCAGTTCTGGGGCAGGAAATAGGCAAAAAGCTAACACAACTGACTCAACAGTACATTCAAATCAAAGAGTGGAATGAGAAGGGGAAGTGTAGTCCTACCTGCTGGTCTTGATGATTTTACAAAGAAAGAAATTAGAATCATTGGTATTATTTTGTTGCTAGTGGGTTTTTGTTTTATTTTGTTTTTTTGGCGGTGGGGAACGGGGGGAGTTGTGGTTGTTGTTGGTGGCGGTTTTTCAGAAACCTTGTGGTTTCTTTTCACAGGTGAAAAGTCTGAGGGTCTGATCAGATCTACAAGCTGTGAATAATAACGTCCTGAATCCATACCCCTTGTATCTAACAAGGCAGGGATGGTATCCTGGAGGGAAAAGTCCATAACAACCCTGCACCTTCAAAAATTAAATTATTAGTTGATAAGATCAGGCCTTTGAAAGTGTGAATAAGATAAACTTTTCCTCAAAGTAAACTAAAATGCAGGTATTTGACTTGTTTTTGCCATGCTGCTCTTGGCTGCAGTCCTCCGTCTACAGTGAACTCGGGGTAGGAAATGGAGACACTAATTACACATGCTTAAGCAGGCCTAATTTTAAGTAAACATATTATACATAGTCAATAGAAATGTGTTCAGTCATGCTAATGAACAGAGAAAATACACAGCACTTTACTAACACAAACAGTCTTCCCATTTTTAAGCGCTATATGGATTGCAACAAACTGTATTTCAAATTAATTGTAGGTATCTTATATTTTTGGCTGACTTTAGAAAACCAGGGCCTTAAATGCTCTCAAACTTCACAAAGCTGACCACAAGGTTTATCTGGTCAGTTTGGGATCTGTCCTCTGGGTAAAGGTTCCAGGAAATGACCGTATGACTGAAATGAAGCGGCCACCCTAAATCCACCCTCCTTGTGTGACAAGGCACCTGGTAGAAAACCCAGGACCTGACCTTAGAATGTCCTTGGTGCAGCAAATGACACATCCCAGTTATGGGGGAGAAGCTTTCAGGGTGATGAAATGTTCTAAAATCGACTGTGGTGATAGTTGCACAACTCTGAATATACTACAAAGCACTGAATTGAACACTTTAAATGGGCAAATTGTAGGGTATGTAAATTATATCTCAATTAAGTGGTTACCAAAAATTCCAACCGCTGCATACATACTTAAAATCTGTCTGTAAAAGGAGCTTATACACATGCTATTATAGTGTGGCACTGTGGTTAAAAGTGTGGCCAGAGTCACACTCTGTGTAACCTTGGACAATTTGTTAATCCCTAAGTAGTTACTGTGCCTCAGTTTTCTCATAAGTGAAATAGGTATGATAATATCTATCTCCAAATAGCGGTCATCTGAAGATTAAAAGAAACCCACTATGTATGCCCTGGTGGCGCAATGGGTAAGCACTCAGCTGCTAACTGAAAGGTCAGTGGTTTGAACCCACCAGCCACTCCATGGAAGAAAAGACCTGGTGATCTGCTCCCGTAAAGATTTCAGCTTAGAAAACCCTATGGGGCAGTTCAACTCTGTTCTATAGGGTCACTAGGAGCTGGGATCAACTCAACAGCACACAACAACAGTATATAAAGTATCACAGGGATTGTTGTTATTGTTAGGTGCTGTAGCATTGGTTCTGATTCATAGCGACCCCGTGTAAAACGGAAACAAACACTGCCCAGTCCTGTGCCATCCTCACAGTCATTGCTATGTTTGAGCTCACTGTTGTAGCCACTGTATGAATCCATCTCATTGAGGGTCTTCCTCTTTTTTGCTGACCATCTACTTTACCAAGCATGATGTCCTTCTCCAGGGACCGGTCCCTCCTGATAACATGTCCAAAGCATGTGAGATGAAGTCTCACCATCCTGGCTTCTAAGCGTTCTGGTTGTACTTCTCCCAAGATAGATTGTTCATTCTTCCGGCAGTCCATGGTATATTCAATATTCTTCACCAACACCATAATTAAAAGCACCAACTCTTCTTTGGTCTTCCTTATTCATTGTCCAGCTTTCAAATGCAAATGAGGCAACTGAAAACTCAAAGGCTTGGGTCAATCCTTAAAGTGACATCTTTGTGTTTTAGCACTTTGAAGAGGTCTTTTGCAGCAGATTTGCCCAGTGCAATGCATTGTTTGATTTCTTGACTGCTGCTTCCACAGGTGTTGATTATGGATCCAAGTAAAATGAAATCCTTGACAACTTCAAGATTTTCTCCGTTTATCATAATGTTGCTTCATAGAGGTTAGCATACATACACTTTTGGACACTGAGTTGCTTTCAGTTGTTTGTTATTACATGTATTAGCAAATGACCATAATAGCTAGTATTTAGTATGCATTTACTGTCTGTGTACTCATAGAGGTTAGCATACAGTAAATATATGGTAAATATTAGCTATTACGGTTATTAGCCTATACCCATAATAACAAACAACTAAAAGCAACCCAATTTCCAAAAGTAAGAAGAACATAAAAAAAAAAAAAGTATACTGCACAATGGAATCTACCTGCTTCATTAAAGTAACAGTTATGGGGCTCTGTCTAGATAAGGGAAGCCTGGTCTATATGAAACCTGGTAAAAACAAACAAACAAAAACAGCACAAAATAGTGGGTCCACAATGGGGTTAACTATAGAAAAATAAAGTATGTATGACAAAGAATGAGGCACAGAATTTCATAAGTGAATCATATGTCATGATTCTCTTTGTCTTTTATTTACTGCTTCACTATGCTGGCTATCCTAAAGTTGGCTAACGAGTAGTTAAAAATAAAACAGTAAGTTGTATTACATCTAAATGAGGAGGCACAAATATCCAGAGATTCCCCTGTGCTATTTAATAACTGATGTGCATGATAAGGACCTTGAAGCATTCCAGGATCCCGAAGAAGCTTCTGATTTGTCAGCACGTCACTTCTGCTCAATATCACATAGTGGTCAGAATATTCAGTCAAACTCTATCTAATCCTGTGTACTCTAACTTGCAGTCTTTCTGGTTCTGACTTTTCTTGTTTGCTCTAAGAGCCAAAAATAGGGGTGTTATTGCACTTGTATTCCCTTGACATCATTTGATTTTTCTTTTTTCTTTTGCTTCGGGGTCTTGTGCCAAGCTTGGTTTCAGTAATACCAGAGAATGAACTAAAGATGAACTAGTTTCACTCGTTCGTTCCTGAGTAAGCCAATTCAGTAGTGTCTCTCCGGGAGCACCATTCTAAGAGAAAAGGACATTCTGCTCATTTGCATGCTACTACCCAGAATACTCTGCAAACTCCTTGGAGAACTGAGTCAGATAAGCAACAAGAGCGGCAGGGTACACGGTAAGGCCTCCTAAAACGTTTCCGAAGAAAAATGCACATTAAAAAAATCTAAAAATATACCTGGAGGAAGAAAACTCTCATTGTGATGAGTGGTCTAAAGGATGACTCACGTGTGTCCACCGTCTCCTGAATTGGGATGAAGCCTACAGGCAGGGTGTCCTTGATGTCAATGAGCTTCATATCCACTAACACGTTCCCTAAATGACTCTTGGGAAGAAAGAAAAGAGATACAGACTATTAATCTGAACATGCCTGTGGTAGCTTTGCCATTTTGGCTTCAAGATGCATATTTAACACAATGACTCGTGCAGTTTTATGACAGCAGGTTAATTAGAGTAGGTGCCAGTTAATGTTCCCCAGTGGTTACACAGGGACTCCGGTGGGCCTCAGGAAGGAGTTTCATCTGCAGAACCTCAAAGCCACTCACTCAGATGTGGCCTTGGTTAGCCAGATGAGTAGCTCCTGGAGGATGGGAGCCCTGGGCATGCTTTAGACCAGGGCTTCAGACTGGTTCGTTCCCATTTGAACCACTGCTGAGAATTTGCATTCTAACAAGTTCCCTGCTGATAATTTGCATTTCTAACAAGTTACACATAAGAATTACCTGAGGATGTTGTTAAAATATAGATTCTGATTTAGTATATCTGGAGTGGAAATGCAAATTCTCAGCAGCGAACTTTTTAGAAATGCAAATTCTCAGCAGGGTTTCAAACCGGAATGAAGCAGTTCAAAGAAAGCCCTCCTTCAGATATAACCCAGCAGAGGGTGGCTGTGCACTCACGTCCCAGTACCAGGCCGCCACTCAGTCCTGAGCATTGGCACTCAGGGCCTTAGGTTTTAGAGCACATTCTTGTGGCACTTGTTGTGAAGGGAGAGACACATCTAAACCTAACAGAGAACCAGGGCTTCAAACCAGTTCAGATTGGTTCAGTCATGGCTGATGAAGTGAAAGTGGAACAGACTCAAATTTTTACAATTTGCGTGATCCAGAATGGTAACCGGAATGGGAAAAATTATGGGTCAAAGCCCTGGAATGGGAGACTTGGAAGAGGCGTAATGAGCCCTTTTGGGAGCCTGATGTGTGAGACTGGATTATTGCCAGCACTGTGTAGAGTGAAGCACACTCAAAGCGGTACAGTCAGCCGCCATCTTTGAGCAGGGCACCACTGTTTCCAAGTCTGCACAAAATCCGACGGGCTAGAGATTTGGTTGCTATACAACACGTACGCTGTCCTTGTTGTCTAAGAGAGAGATTAAGTTTCTAGCAGGGCTTCAATCTGTAATTTTTCCCGTTCTGGTTACTGTTCCAGTTCACCCAAATTCTAAAACTTTTGAGTTTGTTCTGGTGACACTTTCTTGGCCATAAATGAACCAAGAAGAACCAGTCAGAAGCCCTGGAGAGTACCAATCACACTCCTAAATGCTCACCGGTCTGCATACTGGCATATATTTCGGTTGCTAGATACATTTTATAAAATCCCAAGAATCATAAACTAACATGGAGTGAAAGCCCTGCAGCCTCAATATAACACATCTTCTAAAATGACATGCACAAAGGGCTTCTTAAAGTTTCTATTTAGTGGTAGAATTTGGGGTCCACAGTGTACAGTTTCCATAACCAGTATAAAAATATCTTTCAAAGATAGCATACCATTCTGTAATTGTGAGAGAGAATTCTCTGCAAACACGCTACCACTTGCAGCCGCATTTCACATTGGAAATGAGCTCTAAAGATACCTGCCCTACAACTTAAATATGCAGGGCCACCTAGGAGATTTCATTAGAATCTTCAGAGTAATTTGCATCTTAGTTCTTCTCTCTAGTCAGAGCCAGTTAAAGAAAGAATTATAGGTTCCAGTCCTGAATCTCTGTTGTTAGAATGTTAGCAATGCACTTCACATGCCTGTTTTCCAGAAATTTCTCATTGTTAAAGTCCAACACAAGTACTCTCTCAGTTTACTTGTCCTGCATCCCTGGGTAAACAGCTAGTTGGTCAGCCCATTACTTTGCACATGGCAGCAAGTTTTCAGGCCTTTATTTCTGTCTTGCTTAGAAAATAAAGGCTTCTACCTCTTTCTCTGAGCACGGGGGGAGCCAAGTCACCCCTATCCTGCCCATAAAAAATCTGCCAACACTACTTCTGAAAGGCAAGCAAGTCATTCTTTACATCTAAACTATATGCTATATTCTCTTAGTACTCTCTATTTTCCTTACCAATTTTTTGAGGCTGTTTATTTAATATCTATCTCCCCAGTAGAGTTTAAGAACCATGAGGGCCCGAACTATTTTTGTTACTACTGTAAAACTGAGCCTAGCATAGTGCTTGGCACACAGTAGATGCTCAATAATTGTTTGCTGAATAAATTAATCTTTTTTTGGTATATTTTTCAACTGGAAGGGCCACTCAGGGTCAGAAACAAATTGGATTTGCTTAAATGGCAAATCAACACTCTATCAATAAAAATATTTAAAGCATATGTAATAAATACCTTATATAAGCCAAAAGCACACAAATGAAATAAATTCTTCAATTCAACTACAAAGGTCAAAATGGCAAGTGTAACCTATGACCACTTGTTTTTATGGCCCTATTATCACAAACTGTTTGTTTCTCTCAGAACTATTATATTTGCCAACAATTTAATACTGCTACATTTCAGATAGTTAGGTCTCAGGAAGACAATGCACAGTGCAGTGCGGCAAGTGGGAAGTGGAAGCTCGTCTCAGGTGGAATAAATCTGCCCGTGCAGGAAGGGTTTGGACCATTAACCTAACTAGCAAACATCAGCTGCTTGCAGAATTGCCTGATCTAATCTATCATAATTTCTTTCCGTGGCAGTTGCTTTTCCATGTCATCACTGCTTTCCGCACTGAGAAATTAACAACTGGGTATGTTTTCCTGCCCTGTAGATGGATGGGCATTCATCGATATCCTTCTCAAATGTCTTCTATCTGACACGTTGGGCTTTACAGAAGTCAACTGCAAACCACTTAGCGACCTCACCCTCCACACTCTCTACAAATGTCCCTGATCATAAAACCAGAGCATCAGTGGTATGGCCATTAAGAGAAGCATCAAAAAACCTTCCCATGCATACAAAGTGGGAGGCTGCGCTGTCAAAGCTTCCTGAAGTCCAAAGTGTGGTCCGTCCTTGCACCAAGCTGCCGCTGTACTGGGTTTAATACAGTAGGTCTGCGACACCATTAATTTTGCTTGTTCCTCTCCCCTCCCCCATCCTGTGCTCTCTTTCATTTCCTCCTCATAAATATGAAGAACGTATTCCCAATCCTTGTTGAGCAAATGATTCATGCCAAAAGCCCAATATGCACTGACTCAGGGTATTTATATTGTCTCTGGTAGCCAGTATTTGCTAGTATACTGTAATTATTTCTGACAACCTTGCATTTAAAGTAGCCACAGATAACCAACTTAATATTCAAATGTTCATAAATCCTTCTGTTTAATATCCTCCCTACCTAATCTATGTACATTATTATTACAGGTAATGCAGAAAGTACAGGGCATGAAAAGTGCAATTAATCTCGATCCTTCCCAGGAAGCAATGTCACTCCAAAGCCAGGTTTCAGTATTAATAGCATTATTGGGGGAAAGGAATTTAGGTTCCAAAGGAGTCTCCCAAAACTCCTACATTGGGAGCCTCAAGTCACCTAATTAAGAATCTGTCCAGTCTTAAGATCCCATATCCCCTCTTCACAGTTGTAAAAAAGAAAAAAAAAATGCTATGCAAAGTCTTGGTTCAGACTGAGGGCCAGAAGTGGCTGGCTGTAACAGATTAAAATACTGTATACCTGATTCCTGTTCCACTCCTGGACTGGCAAGTGGGTCCTGCCACCCTACCCCCCTTCAACTAGATCTGTTTGGATCCCACTATAGACCATTCATTCTTTTTCTGAAAACAAAACGCCCTTATTTCCCTGCTTCAAAAGAAAGGCAGAGGTTTCCCCCACTGCCCTTGTCCTCGTCTCCTTACATGCCTTCATCACATCCACCCCCGCCACGTCCAGCCCTCATGGAGTAAGAAGACACACAAAGCCGGCATTCAATAAACATCTGTTTAATGTGAAACAAATGTGGACTATATTAATCCATTTTCTATAATACACTCGCCCATAACAGCACAAATTAACAAGTGCCAAGGACTTTTCTTTGTCATTTTTAGACTCTCGCCACTGTCCACACTCCCAGGGACGCAGGGCTTCTTCTGGCCTAGAGAACCAATACCTCTCAACCTCTGGGGGAAAGTGCAACAAAAAGAAAAAATGATTACAGAGATTGTGGCTGTCCTCTGAGGCCATATTTCTAAAATGAAGCCTCTTCCATCAGGAAAGACGAAGGCTCAGTAGAGACCACTAATGAACACCAGGAAACCACTCAGGGTAGAGACGGTGTGAACACGAGTTTGTTCAAATGCTTGGGAGTTCGTCTCTACAGCTCTGGGTGGCAACAAATGCGCTGACCTTCTGTAGAAAGTGGCAGCCCATGGACAGAGGAGAGGTTAGAAAAGCTAAAAATACAAACAGTTTTGAAATAGTTTAGGTGAACTCGGGGGACCAAGGGGCCGGGAGAGTACACTGTGTATGTGGACACCAGATAGGGCAATGAGGGGACAGGGACTATCCCTAACTTCATGAGCCCAGTGTCTACAAAGACTTGCTCCTTGGTGTCTCCTCAGGCAACACAATAAGCCTGGGGGACCTGCTAGGACTACTGCCAAGTCTAGGATGCAGACACTCACTCTTCAGCTCAGTGACCACCTTCCTGGTATTAAAATGCATTCAAAAGCCTGTATTAAAAAGATTTTCAGGAGTCCCTAGGTGGTGCAAACGGTTAAGCACTCCCTCAACTACTAGTCGAAAGGTTGGCTATTCGATCCCACCCAGACACACCTCGGTAGACAAGCCTGGCAATCTGCTTCTGAAAGGCACAGCTCTGAAAACCCTACAGAGCACAGTTCTACTGTGACATGTGTGGGGTCGCCATGAGTTGGAACTGACTTGATGGCAACTAACAACAACAATGACACTGTAAGTATGCAAATGTAATATGAACAATAATACGATTAATCTGCCATATATTAAACTATAGTGTCTAAAAAGCCCATTAAAAAGATTTTCAGTGTTTAACACCAGGACTTTCCCCTACGCTATTATAAAACTCTGTACTTGACAACGAGCATACATTAGTCTTGCAATTAGGAAAAAAATTAAAGCAATGACTTCTCCCTCAGTCCTGAATACATTAGGAATGCTTCTCCTAACAAAGCATTATCAATGAACAAAAGGAAGGACTGATGGAAGAGTGCAAGCCAGAGAACCCTGCGACTGTTCAGATCCAGAAAAATACTGAAGGGACTCACAAGGACCTAGTACCAGGGCCTGTGGGGGTAATACAATGGAGAGAGAAAGGCTGTTACTTTTCCCCTTCTGAATGAAGATGTGTGATGAATTTTTTTTAACCAAGAACATATATTACTGTTATAATAAAATTTGTAAAAAATAAAATCAATAGAAGATTTCAAAAACAAATATTTGTATTCAGAAGAGATAATAATATCTACACCAGAAAGAAAATGTCACACCCTGAGAATGAAAACCTGACTGCTCCCTATTTGGGGGTAGGGAAGACAGGTGACCTTGAATGAGCACTTAAACTCTCTGAACTCAATTTCTTCACTTATGGAAAGGAGATAATACTTCAAGAGATTGAGCACTGAGCAGTGAATATTTGCAGAGTGCCTAGAAACTAACAGATACTCACTAAAGTTATTTCCCTTCTTCCTAACCCATCAATTAAAACACCTTATTAGAAAAGCCTTTAGTAGATACCCTTAAAATTTCCTAATTCGTGTGCACAAGTATTAACACCAGTACACTAAAAGAAATCCGCACATGTGGATCTCTACCTGTAAAAATAATGAAATGTCATATACAGGATCAGAGGGAAAGAAAAAGTCATTTTGGGAACAAGGCCATGTCTGTGGACAGGGCCGATCATGCAGGTCCTCCTTTCAGCTATGCTTCCATGTTGGCCAGCTTTAAATTCAACTCTACCGGAAAATTCTCAAATCCATACTACCCTGTGATTTGTTGCTTGGGGGAAACGTAGGCAAATGAGAGCTGTGAGAGAAATTTTCTTTTGAGAACACATTTTAATGGAATTCACTGTACACTTGGGTACATGGTTAATAATACTGTTAATAAATGAAACACAGCACTAGCTGCTGATTCTACCCAGTTCACTAAAACCACAGATAAATTAATTTGGCAATGAAAATAAACCACAACAAAAAAATGAGGAAATTTCAAACAGGAACGTAAATTACTCGTGCTCACTCAGTAAACAGAAGCCACTACTAGACTTACATTTTCTTTGGAAAATGATCTTGTGAAACACAGGTATCTGGTAACCTTGGATTTAAATAAGCCGTCTTTCCAGAGGTCAGCATCCACACCATCTGCTGTCTGTGCAACCTACACCAAAGACACAGAGAAACGGATCGCAGGTAAGGCAGGATAGAACTGAAGGTGTGTGTGAGCGGCTTCTTTCATACCTGCTCCAATTAACACTGGCCCGAACTCTCATGGCATCTCATTAGTTCATTTCACTAAGCACAGAGAGGAGAATTTCCAAAAGGGAAAAAGAAGGAGTGTGAAAAATACAACTTCTAAAAATATTGTCCCCAGGGAAGCCATTGATTAAAGACATCCTGACAAAAATGGTTCTAATGAGAAAAGAGCAACTTTTGTTGTAATGGACCAAGAAGGGATTGGATACGTCAGCACATTAAGCTGCTCATTACCACTTACTCGGGGGATGGTATAGGGTGCAAAAAAAAAAAGTCCAATGGGGTTTGAAATGCCACCTGAGAGGGGGGCCGCCTGTGGTGAGATTGACACAGCCTCCTGCTCTAGGGCCCTGGGGCCAGGTAGGGTGCTTCAATGAGATTCCATCCTGGGGGTGGGGGGCGGGTAGCATCAGGAAAACTCACTGTAAACTGTTTCTTCTTGGGATAAGCTCTGAAAGTGGTACTCAAGGTCAGAAACTGGATCATGATAGAAAAATAAAAAAAGACTCAGTTCCTTGTTTACAGTCTCACCAAGAAGCCATTTTCTCATATGCAGCTGTGAAATGTTCCTCTAGTTCAAGGATGAAACTAGCCTGGATTTGAGTCTTAAAGAACCTGTGCACTATTTAGACGTATGCACACGTGTGTGTGTGTTGGGGGGATTTTAGCATGAAGGTCAATGTTTTATGGGAAAGAGCTTACCGTGAGATTGGATAGGAGGGGGAAAAGGCTAGAAGAGGATGGTATTCTTCCTATTTCTCTCCAGAGAATATTAATAGATTGTCAGGGCTTGGTCTGCTTTCTCACACAGTAACCTAATATGACAATATTATCAGCATCCCTTAAGAGTATTAATCAACCTCTACCCCGAGGCCAGTACCACTAAGAGATGGGCTGGGGGCATCCAGGAAGACTGAGGGAGCAGCACCATGTTGTGGGATAAACTTTGAAGGCAGTCTTCAAGCAATATGCCTTCTGACTTCTTCTTGGTTGTCCTTTTGAGGTTTAGACTTTGGGATTCAGTTCTTGATCTGACAAGCTCCTGGCCATCCTGACCAATTGCTGAAAATGCCTCCATTCTTTACACAAAAACTGCCTTGATTCAGCAACATCCAGTCTACGTACTGAGTAGCTCCACACAGAGCACCACTGACTATACAGCATGTCAACAGCCCCTGACTGTCACATCCATGAAGTTGGGTGTGCGGGGGCTGCAGGACCCCAGCAGAGCGTGCCCATGCTTGCCAGGACATTCCTGGAGCCCACCTCAGCTGCTTTCTCCGAGGCTGCCTCAGAAAAGCTGAAAGGCCAACTGGCAGAAGAAAAATGCTTTATTCAGACCTAACAATTGTAAATTAGCAAATACAACAATGAGAAAAGAAAGCTTTTCATGCTAAATATGCAAATATATTTGACCTGAAAGCTGAAGGAGGAATGGTATGGGGAATAATTTTAGGAACTGTCTGCTCAAATATGTCACCCCCACAGAATGAAACATGATGAACCAGGGATTGACCCTTGTCAGCTTTTTTCCCCAGAATGGTCACACACACAGTTTTCTTTGAAACGGTTTAAGGCAGTGATCCCAACTTCCCCATCACTAAGAATCCCTTTTGTTTGTTCTCTCCCATGGAGTCCATGTTTTGAAAGATTTTTGTCTCCCACATGGTCATTTTTACTGTATTTCCTCAATTCTAAGATGTGTTCCCTTGGGAATCACCCATGGATTTAAAGAACATCCATTAAGAAAAAAAAGAAAAAGTACCATATTAAAATGTGCATGTCCATTTTAAGATGCACTCCAATGTCAGAACCATTAAAATGTAGAAGTAAAAGAAGCTGTAGGAACAAGGAAATATGGTAAGGGAACCTATATGGTTTCTCTATAATAAATGTATAATTTCTCATAAACTTTTAAAAACAGAGACAGTATGCAAAACACCTGAAGGCTGCATAACCACAGGCTGGGAACCTTATAAGAAATAGGGTTGTGTCTTTAACCTTTGACTGGAAAAGAAAGGATGCCCAGAGGGGCTCTCCTAGATAATGGGAAATTCCAAAGAGGGTGGTGTTTATTCTAAATCAAGACTATTGTTTCCAGGGTTTTAAAAGAAGATTCCCTCCTCCCATTCCATTGCTAAAATGATCATTTCTCTGAATAAAAGACACCTCAATATAGCAAGGGGCCAGTTGAGGAGTATAAAGGGAAAGAGCATGCATTGTGGGCCTGCTCCTCCCTTGGAGGCCCTGCTTCTCACCTCTGGCCCTTACAGTCCTCCCACCCTTGTCAGGAGAAGCATTAAAAACGGACAACCAAAGGTCCAGCTTTACCCTGAGGCCATAACTCATTTTCAATGAAGTTGAATACGTAATGTGTGATGGCACCAACTGTTTCTGGCCAGAGAGGGAGGCCAGGAGTGGGAGAAGAAAGAGATAACTGGGCAAGGCCTGAGGAAGGCAGAGCTGGGCAGAAAGTAGATGCACCCCAAGCCTGGGACATGCAGGCTGGATCTGCGCGGGTACCACCAGCACCATGAAATGGAATGGAGCCCTCCTTCTGCCCTGGAGTGGGAAGGCCCAGGGTTCATGGCTCAGTAGACTGCACTTGGGGACGGCTCCTGGTATCATAAGGCTGTGCATTCCCAGCCTTGCTTCAGCTATAGTGTAAGGTATACACATAGCTTTTTCCAATTCAGTCATAAAAAGGTACTAATAAACTAAACTCTTCCCATCCCAAATTCTATTTGCTACTGGTCTAAAAAGGTAAATTTTATGTGGAGAATGTAGTGGAATATTCACAGTTCCAAGGGAAGACACCACAACGGACTCCAGTCAGACTCTAATATATCGATGCCCATGTCCCTCCCAGGGGCGTCTCTGCAGAAGTTCACTTCTCAACTGACAGTGCAAATTCAGCAGCTAGCCTCAGAGTCTTGGGATCTAAAAGGCTGGGGGGAGGTAAGGGGGGGGTAGGGGTGAAGGGAGCAGGAAAGAATGGAGGAAGAAGTGCTCTATGTGTACCAGGTTGCTGTTGTTGTGTGCTGTCACGTCAATTCCGACTCACAGCAACCCTGTAGGACAGAGTAGAACAGCCCCCTAGGGTTTCCTAGACTGTAATCTTTATGGGAGCAGATCGCCAGGTCGTTTCTCCTGCAAAGCAGCTGGTGGGTTTGAACGAACCACTTAACCATTGCGCCACCAGGGCTCCTTAACGTGCACCATAGCCTGAATGAAATTAAGAGGCAGTCCGGAACCTGAAACTTCATGATGGCTTGAGCAAGTCCCTCCCTCATCTATAAAATGGACCTGCTGCCAGCTCCCTCCTGAGGTCACTGCTAGGGTAAGAGAAGATGATGCAAGCAAAGTACCTGACTCAGTGCTGGCCAGTGATCACTCAAGAAATGACAGCACTAACATTTCTAAACTAAAAACGACAACACCTGGTCTGATAGCAGACTCAAATATTTAAAGTGATGTCATGCTACATCAGACCTGGAAAGTCATAAATGGTCACAATCGGGGCCCAGCTCTAACCTCTGATCCTCTGGGATTCATTTCATCCTGGATCTCTGGCACTAAATCTGGCCTCCCCCCTTTCTCCCTGCACTGGTCTTTTACATGCAGACGTACACTTGTGTGATTAATGTTTACCTTGCCCTCTGCTGTCTTGCCACTTGACTATTAAGCTTCTGAAGGACAAAGACATGCCTGTTCTGATCAGCATTTTATCCCCCACACTAAGCATAGTGCCTGATACATATGAGCTCAATCAAAACTTGGTGAAGGAATGAATGAGTCAATCAATCAATCAGAAGAAAGGTATGAAAAGTCACATACTTCACTAGCTACCCAAATAAGGTTATAAGAATTTTTAAAAATGAAATTTCCGGAATTTAATCCATTGAGCTGAGTACATCCTCTTCAGAATCACCTCTGTGAGAACACATATCCACGCCAACAATGAAGCCATTTATCCTTTTGTACCCTGCCTTGTTCCCAAAATGCAGTGGGTATGGCCAATGCTGTTGTGACTGCGACACCTCCAGAGTCTGTCTTAGGGATGCACACACGCTTCTTCTCTTTCTAGCATTTCTTCCACAGATGCAATAGCCTGTGAAGGAGTAGGTGGGCCCGATCACCAGGGAAATGACTCTGGTTCTCAGCGTTCAAGTAAGGACTGGGGATTTCAACTCAATGTGGCAAAACTGAACACACAGTTGAGATAATAGTTTTCTTTGGTTTTTTAAATGTTCTTTTTGCATGCTTGCATGTCTGATTTTTTTGGTAATGAGCATACATAGCTTTTATAATAACGAAAACAATCATTTAAAAGACTTCATTTGATGGGGTAAGAAATAAAAATCTTCAGATTTAAACCTGAGAAACACTTTGTAAATCAGCTACCCACCAAGCCTGTTACAGTGGAGCTGTGAAGTAAATCACCACAGCCGTCAGAGGTCCTTCGGCGTCAGGATAGAGAGCTCCTTGCCTGAAGTGAAGCTCTTGAAAGACACTGCTAACCACCAGTTCCATTATCCCGGTTATACCCTGGTGTTTTACGACAGCCCACCCAAAATTCAAAGATCTATTCAGCAGACAGAAAGTAATCAAGGGGGCCAGGAAATTCTGCAGAAATGCCAAAGGAAATATCTGGCTGACACTATGAACAAGAACGCAGTTCAAAGGACTGCTGATAAGTTAGATCATCGACTGTGGAAACACAAACACTTGGCCCAGGTCAGACAGTGGTCAACTGTGGAGCCACTTAAGCTCTTCATCAGAGGCAACTTGGGCATGGCACAGAGGCAGGGGGGACAGGAGTTACGGCCAAATGCTTTCTAAAAGCTGTAAAGTGAAAAGAGGCATTTAAATCATCTGGTGAGGAGCCTAGGAACTCTTGGTTGT